TGCAAGTAATTTTCAGAGGAAGAGTATGAAAGTTAGCTGAAAAATGACCATCGCAAATCGGTAACATTGTTATTATGAATGGTTGACGAATGGTATTGCATAATAATTTCAGAATGACGAAGCGAACAAGTGAAACTGCAACGAAGAGAAATAAAGAAGATGGATCGTTTCACGCATTTCGGGTCGATATGGTAACGAGGTAATGACGAGTGCTATTTCATAATAAGAACGTAAAAAGAAACGCTAGTGAAGGATGATGACGCTCTTCAAAATGCACGAAACTGAACTGAACATGCCAGAGATGCGGCTGATTCTGGGTGGGGTTGACGAAGATCCGCAGTACGTGAATTAGAGGCAAAGTCAAGGGAAGCGAGATGCACCTGTGTGTAGAAAGCAAAAACACATTATAAATTATTTTTACATTGATATGAAAATGCTGAAATTAGAAACACCGGGTAATGGATCGGAGCCGATTCAATAAAAGAATGATGTTGCGGTAATAACCGAGGAGGCGATTCGAAAATGACTGTTGTTGGAAATGGCTATGGGAAAAGCCGACGGGAAAGAAGGCAATTCAAGTTACGAGTCGGATATCAATCAATTTATCGGTAACATTGTTATTATGAATGGTTGTTGTGAAATGAAGCAGAAATAAGAATTGAAAGGAGTTCATTCACGCAGAATGATCAACGATTGCGAATCTGTAAATGAAATGAATTGGAAGGAAGAGATGTAAAATGTTTTGTGGGTGCAATGAAGAATAATGTTGAAATTGGTTAATTGGAAACCGATCATTCCATTTGAATGGTGATCAATTTGAAATAATAGGTCATTTTGAGGAGCGATCAGATCTGATTGATGATGACCGTCGCAAATCGATCGATACCAAATAAAATAATCACGTAAAAATTATGATAACAAGTTAAGCATTAAGCATCTAGTATGTATGTGCATGCTGAACGTTATCAATGTTCAATGGTGAAACACACTGGTTTTGTCTGGTTTAACTTAATTTATTGCTGTTTTTATTATTTATTATTACCATTACTGCTTTATTATTATTATTGTTATATAATAATGAGTAATAATAACTATTAGTATAATTACTATTATTGTTATCATGAGTGTTGTTATTGACTCATTCGTATCAACTCACCTTCAGTCGTTCCAATTTTTGAATTGCAATTTAAACGCATCATGAACCGGTTTATGAATTCTTTTCATTTCATTTTCGAATGCATTTTTTGTATATCTCAGATACAAATAATATGCAATAATGAATAAAAAGTACATATAAAGGAATAAATAATGAAAAAACTGAGATCGAAACAAATTGCAATAATGTGAAATGAGTCTAAAGACATTATATATCTACATGGAACAGCTTAAATAAGCAACATTTAGTCAGTTATGAAAACAGTTCATCAATTTTCATTCGAATAGAAATCAGCAATTTGATGAAGATAAAGTTTGTATACGAAATGAAACACATTGAAAATAAGTATCAAACGAAAACCACCGACGAGTTTATAATAGAAGAAAGTAAATTTATAAAATGATCACAAACAAAATACAAATAATACCAAAAACGAGCGATAATGATTGTCATTCCTCTAATACTTCTCTCTTTCGTCATGCAACAACCAACTGTTGAACATTACGAATTGATCAGTCACATTTCCTTTTGATATTCTGCGCTTTCAACGTCCTCACTTCCACATCTATAATCAAGTATCAATTCAATCTGATGGAACACATCATTACTTCTGTTATCAAATCACCTAAATTAACATCTTGAAACTAATGATAGGATTATTATTGACACTGGTACACCAGCCGGTTTCCAGCATAACTCTCACTCGTGATGGGGAATCGAACCAGTCACTTGTCAATTACTGGTTGCGATTTGCCTAAGACTTGGCTTGTATCAGATTATCTGTTCATGTTATTAAGATTATCACTATTGATTAATGAAAATTATCAATTATCGCTATCATCCCTAATTGATTTAAATATGGGATGATTTAAATACCATGTTGCTGTCGTGCTGAAGGAGTTATCGATCCAAATTCCATCTCGATTTTTGCATTTAACTGATCGCATAATTTCGATTGACTTTTCGATATTTTTGCTTGTGACGATTGATACTAAATATTCCACTTATTAATAAGTATTATAATGCGCTTATTGATGATGAATAAGAACATTAAAATACATACATTGTTATGAGTGTGCAACGATGTCACATGTCGACTTGTTCTTTCAATACCATCCTCAACAACGACGATGCCCGATAAGCAGTTTCCATCACCAGAATGATGCTTATCGCAATTCTGGTCATTGCTTATCAAGCCACTCTGATAACGTTCGGCCAACGCTATTCCCAATCGTAACTGAAATTATATACACATATATGAAAGCGAACTTATGATATGTAGTGCTACTGAACGGTTGATTTGCCGATCGCTCTGAGCGATTACTCGGTTATCTCTAATGTGGTTATTTGCTGGACTAATATTCGGCTCTTTGAATTAAGCAACTTATTCATGGCAAACGGCATTCATTAGAGTTAGGTTGCGGAATATTTAAGACGATATTCACTATGGAGACCTGCACAGTTACATTGATTAAAATCGTTCGTTATTATTGATCCCGTAAGATTGCTATCGTTTTAATGTCGATTGTTCCAAACAGCTACCCTGAGCGATCATTAGATGCATGTTTAATCAATCAAGCGGAGTGTATTTTCGGGCTCATTTTGAGTCCCTCATCCTAAAAATAATTGCGCGATTTGGGAGAGTATTCCTACAGCTCTAGGTTCGCCAAATCAATACCTGAAGCTGGAATTTCATGAACACTGCTGACTCCCTACGGCAATATCCGTTAGCTGCACGGAGTGAAGGATGTCAAGGCAGGAAGAATGTGATATAGTGATAGTGGTGTTGCAAAAGAGGCTATGAGTTGCAATTGCTGATTAAATAAATAAACAAATAAAGCTGTTTTCCCGTTTCCAATACGCTTTCTCGATAGGAGATCGATCACTAGAGTGACTCTCAACATTAGGATTAGAGACTTTAGAACTGCGATGAATCATATTGATCTTTACACAGCATATAACATCATTTGACGACTAGTTGATTCGCTAATGGGAAAATCTTTCGAATTTTCCACAAGAAACGAACAAATCCGTCAAAATGATTTCCCCACACTCGCTTTCGATCGTTGCAAATTAAACACTATATGAAATTCTTGATTCTGCGTCCTAACTTTACAGTTTAATAATGATAATGTAACAATGAGACTTTTCGCGCAGTAATGTGTGCTTTGCAAGATTTTTTTCGTGAACGTTCGCAGGAAGTATTTCTCGACAAGCACCTAAAATTGGGATAGCTGTGTGTTTTCGTTTAAAGCAAACAATGCAATCAAAATAATGAACCTCATTCAACGAAATCACTCCCACAAGAACGCCGTTCCGAGTAACGTAAGCTCGACTCACACCCAACAATGAAAACAATGAATGCGCTTTATATAAGGACATTTGCTCAACGAGCTGCAACGGCGAATCATCCACGTCCAGCATGTTCAGCAGATCCACTCTCTTCTCTAGTCTTCTTCTCATCCATTCTTTCTCCTTGATTTATCGCCTCATTTCAGATCATATTTGAGAAGATGTGCAATAATAATAACAACAATAATAGTATTAATAATTGCGAATGATGACATAATCATAATAAAAGAGGAAATAACCTCATCTTCAATGGATTCATGAGATTGTTGTTGGTGCTGGTAATGAGCTGAATGATCAGTGTGCAATAGATGTACGATGGTATTTCGAAAAATATCTGCAATTTGTTGAATGAATGAATGAATGAATGGTAGGGAATGAGTGAAGAGTTGGGAATCGCTCGCAAGATTTTTTTTTCGGTGTCCCCAATCGAACGACATTCCGATATCTACCGATTTTTGGTGGACATCGATAGGTGAATTATGAACATCGGCTGGTTTCAATCATTGATAAGTGAAGATCGGTTTGCCGAATCGACCGATCGACAGTGCGTTTCCTTTAGCTACCGCAGATTTTCAGGAGCACCACAAATTAAATTTGATCGATCTCGTACGATGGGCACTTCGCTTATCAGGACTAGTCGAGGGCTGCGGAGAGTTGCAGCTTGTCTACATCATCGTTCTTAATTACACCAATGGGATAGTCGATGTATCAGACTTCACTTCTCTCATCGTACAAGCTCCACCATTTGAAACGTTTAATTCTCGACACAACTTTAGCTTAAGCAAAACTAAAAGATTGCTCCAGCCAAGCCACCTCTTGCTTCACACTCTGTGAAGCAACTTNTGTTAGCATTTGTTACAGGAATCAAAAAATCACATCTCTCTGTTGCCTATTCAATCGACAGAGCATATTGCAATGTTGCAACAAGGGCAGAACGTGGTCATCGTTCGATGACCATTGATGAACGAGCGATTTGGTGACCACCGACTGATTAATCACGTTAGGTTTCGATTAGTGATCACCGAAGATGATCAATTCGGCTTTCTATCGGTGGCCACTGGAAGCCGATTTTTGGTGCTTACAGATCGAACAGTCAGTCCCTTTCGGTTGTGGGCGGTACCACCGATTTTCGGATGTTCGGATGTCCTCGAATTCTCGAATTTTAAGGAGAGAGAGAGAGAGGGGGGGGGAACCGATCTGACTTTAATGGAGATATAAACGAATAAGAATGACCGGTGAAAGTAGTATGATGGGG